CTGAGCTATCAGTGCTGCAGCTACAGCCATCAGTGCCAGCATTCTGCCTTCACTGTGGCACAGGGGCACCATGTTGGACGCTGCCCCACCAGCTGCTCCACATTCCTACAGGGCCACAATTGCATCTCTGAGATGGTAGAAGGACTGGCAAGAAGGGCTGGAAGATGCTGCTTCCTCCACAACCATTGTCTTGTGCTGTTCTGCCAACCTGACAATGCTCTTTTCTTTGCTTTTTAAATACAAAGCCATAAATGCATGAGGAATAAAATGCTCTAATTTATTCTACAAAAGTCTTCATCAAGTGAGAGACAGGACTCTGGGAAAAGATTAAGAGCTTACATTTTTCATTTGACTTATTTCGCATAAAATTTCATAGAGGATAAAATGATGGGAGGCAAAGAAGCAATGATATTTCTGTTTTATCTCTGTCCAAGGACCATAAATCTTTCTGAAGTATCATTAATTATAGCAGCGCAATTCACAACGCTATTGTTAAGGGTCTATCAGCAGTCCCATTATAAACCCCCTATTTTCAGGGGTTTATAACTTGGTTAGAATAATTTTGTTTCAGGCAAAAAACTTTGCTGGGGCAACGCCTCCATCTAAGATAATTTAAAAAAAAAAAAATTAAAACACAAAGGAAAGTATTACCTCTTTTGAATTGATTAATGGAGAGCCCAGGAACTTTCGAGGGGTATAAATCTAATACTGTATTGGCTGATTGTATCTGTACCATTTGTGAATTCATAAAACTGAATGCATTGAAGTTATCTCTTAGATGAATTTAGATCGTTCCTTTACAAGGAAAGTTTCCAATTACCATGGCTGAATTCAAGATCTGGAATATTCCTCTAGTGGCTGTAATCAAATCAGATTTGATTTCTTCCTTAGCTGGAGCCAGTCAAGAAAGAATTTAGCAGACCTGAAAAACAGCTTACATGCTAAGAATATTTCAATGTCTTTGGGTAGCTTGCCTTATTTATTTTTTTCTCTACTGCAGGCATGACTTACATCAAGAATCAGTGAAGGTCAATGGCCATAGCCAAGAAAGTGAGTTTTGGCTTAGCAGCAATGCAGAAGATTCACTACACAATGGCTGAGCCACAGTGCAGTGTGCTGATAGGTGCTCAGTTTCTCCAGATGCATGGTGAAAAATGCTCTTCAGTAGACATGAGTGAGACTGGAAGGGCACAGGAAAGAAAGGTCATGGCTTCCCCAAAAGAACAAAATGATCAGGCAGCCTTTTGCTCACAGTAACTTGTAGGTTCATCGAGGAAGCCTGAGAGCTCTGCTCAATCGAGTCCTTGCAGGATAGGAAAGAGCAAGATGGACGTAATACACCAAATCACAATGGGATCGACAAAGCCATTGTGGTCTTTTTCTAAAGCAATGGATATTAATGAATGCTAACTTCTGAGCAACTTCTTTCCTGCTTCAAAGTAGAAAGATTAGATGAAAATGTATTTTGTGAAGAGTGTGCTGACACCCTCAGGTAATCTTCATCCTCTGTCCTCATCAATAATCTAACCATCTACCTTCCCTGTTACATTACTGTCTGCAGTAATGCAATTCACTTTGCTCCCCTTAGATCCTATTAGAATCTCTCACATTACAAAATTCTTCCAGCTCTGCTCTGTAGTGCACTGGGATTGTTTAGCCTTAACTTTTTCTGGATGTTTTCCTCGACTACAATTCTTTGCACAGGAACAGACTTTTGTGAATTGCACATTTAACCTAGCAGTGAGTGAGAAGATCAAAAAAAGCAATGCACATGGGTATTGTCCTACAGGGTCTCTAAAACATTCTGATTCTCCTTTGAACACTGGTGAATGTAGCTTGTTATAATGAGTTCCACTATCTAAAGTACTTTCTTCTATCAGTTTTGATTGTGTTGTCTTTTAATTTCATTGTCTGTGTCCTTTGAAAGGATAAATAGGCATGGGTAAATAGAAAAGCACATTTCTACAAATTACACAATCCCTTATGTACCTTTTTTTGTATTACATCTTACTTTTCTGCTCTCCAAAGTAAAGCAGTCTTAATGTTTTGTTTGTTTGCTTTTTCTAATATGGAAATCTTTCCATATCTAATAATTTGTTGCTGTTATTTGAGCAGATGTCTTCCTGGAATTCTCCACAGTTATTTACAAGAAAATCACACTCAGTGATGTTATCTAAAATAGACGCACTTCATATACGTAGGCTGAGGTCTTTTTTGGCTGCTCCTACTACATTAAGATCTTAAAGTAGGCAGAAATGGCTTTCTGACAACACTCTTACAAGAACTGCAGTAGAAGGAGGAAAAAATGTGGAAAGCTCCTATATTTCCTTCATTCTTATAGCTGGAATAAATGTGAAATACCACTTTGTACCCACTGTAACTCTTCCTAAGTTTAAGGAGAGAAACATTCATGCCTTCTTAACCAGAAGCGAATCTCTGACACACTCAGTGACATTAGATTTGCTATCTGATCTCCAGTCTTATCTGATCCATTTCTCTCTAATCCACAGCATTTTTTTAGATTCTGGACTTTGCAATGTTTATTGTTTGCAGCTGTGATTCTTGTGCATTTCCAACCTCAGCTCTGCTGTAGCATATACCAATACACTGAAATTCTTGAGGCCTGACCCTGAGAACCATTGCAAAAATAGGGTAGAATTGTTGTAATAATTATCTTAAACCAGTATCTTCAATCTTTTGATAGTATGAGTACTGAGTATTTTGATGAAACTGAAGATATGTGGTAGGGCTTAGAGGACTGGAAAAGGAGATTTTAAATGGAGAAGATTGAAAAAAAAAACATTAACATAAATGCAAAGCTCTCTTCCAGGCTCTTGTATTACAAGGAACTAAGTAGAAGTAGCATTACAAGATTTACTTTTGTAAAAGCAAAGGAATTCACTCATTTTCACAGCAGGGAGACTTTACAGCAGTAAAAACCCCAGGTCTGTTAAAGTAGCATGCCCTTTGTGATTTTGCTTATTAGCAATTTGATTTGTGCTGAAAGACAGAATTTCCTTGAATCACTGTTCCTGCAGTGCAAATATTTGAGTAAACTATGCACTTCATCATGACCACAAGATGGAGATGGATTTCGTAGTCTTGCAGAAAGGGCAGGAAAAACACTGCAGCAGCATCCTTCCCTTCCAAGGTCCAGCGTGGTGAGATGCAAAATGTCTGTAGATCTGAGGAATGGAGAAGCATCTCTGTGCTCACTGAGTAACCCTCCAGCCTTCCCCAGGTTTTTCTTGGTTTACCAGAGAGAAAGACTGAAACTCACTTTCTGCCTTGCCTTGTGCTCCTTTTCCCAGGGTTATAAAGCATTTCTGTTCCAGGTCACTGCACATAGATGTTGAATTTTCATCACAGACATGATGCCATTTTTTACTTCAGCATTTATCTGTCTTCTAGTCTTATATGGCCACACTTATCATAAAATCTCATACCTCACAATCTTTAACACATTATTTATCCCTCAAAAAAGTGTGTGTATTGGTGATGCACTGGCACAGACTGCCCAGGGAGGTGGTGGAGTCACTGTCCCTGAAGGTGTCCAAGAACTGTGGAGACATGGACTGAGGGACATAGTTAGGGGACATGGTGGGGGCGGACTGGGGTTGAACTGGAGGTCTTTTCAACCTTTGTGTTTCTATGATTCTATATGAAAGGCATCTGAAAATATGTAGTAAACTGTTTTGACATATGAAGCTATGGATCTTTGAGAATTTCCTTCTTATTAATCATGGAAAGCCACTCATAAGCTTGAGAATGGTAATGCATATAAAATATTCTTATCCAAAGGTAAACCCCTCTTTAATGTAGGTATTAGAGGTGTGTAAGTCTCAAACGAGGTTGTTTTTCTTCCAGTCCCCAAGTGCAGAATCCTGCCTTTGCTTGAACAAAAACCACAAACCAAAAAAGGCTCACAGCTATTATAGTAATCGACAAAATAGACAGAAAGCCCACATTTCCAGTTTTATTGTAACAGACTGAAATCTAGGAATATATCTCTAGGAATAACTGAAACCACTGTTGACGGTTCTGATGTCTTTAATATATGCATATAGTATTAATTAAAAACCAAAACACACTAAGAATGGTGATTCTTTCCCAATCACACAGTGCTTGTATGGGAAATGTTGAGTCACAGCCTGAGCTGCTGATTGAGCACCTGGGGAAAGGACCGGGTCAGCCCTGGAAACACAGGTGAAGGCAATCCAGCTGTGTGACCAGAAGATGTGGAACCTGGCTGCATCTCTCTTAGACCTCATTTAAGGGCTGACTGTGAGGGGGGAATGATCTCTTTTTGGAGATCCCTCCTTGTTGAAGCTTTCCCGTGAACCTGGAATCTTCTAATATGGGTGAGCAATTTTCTTCCCTTCCCTTGTAGCACCCTGTTGGTTCTTCCTTCCTCACACCTTTGTTGTAATGCCTTTCCCGTTGCACTGATCTGTCCAGTTGCTACAGCACTAATAGCCAGTCTGTGAAAATGTGAAATTAAAACATTTGTGGGATGCATTTGTGCCACTGCCCTCTTTTGGAAGCAGTTATTGGCATGCTGAGCTGCCTCTACTCTCTTCAGCTGCTTTCATGAATTTGGAAGTACTCGAAGGCTTGAACTCCTCCCAGTCTGAGACTGCAGATAGAAGTCACTGTGTTGGTGCTATACATGACAACGGGTACACTGAGACAACTGCTCAGTGAGTCCAGGGGGCCAAAACCGGGATGTCAGGGAAACCCGAGGATGCACCCAAAATTAACAAGAGGGGGAAAAAAAAAAAAGAGGAAAAAATAATAAAAAAAAAAAAAAATAAATAAAGAAAGGCTCAAGGTCCTGCGCGAAGGGGATGAGGAGCGGGGCATTATGGGAGTGACGTCACTGCGCACTGCCCCGAAGGCTCCTCCCTCAGCACCCGGGCCCCGTCCGCAGGCGTTGCGCGCATGCGCAGAGGAAGGCGGAAGTGTGGCGGTTGCCGTGACAACGGCGTCCGGCCCGCGGCTCGGGATCGGGTCGGAAGCCGTCACCTCCGGCCCGGCCTGGCCGCTCCATGCCGCGAAAGGTGCTGCGCTGCGTCCTGCAGCTGGAGATCCGCTCGGTGAGTGCCCGGGCCGCGACTCCTCCGGCCTGCCCGCTGCAGGAAAGCCACTCTTGTTCCTTCCGGAAGGAGTTTGCATTGATCAGGGTTAGAATCGAGTTTGGCATTGCAAATAGGGTCTCACAGTTACCGTAGGTGATGTCAGGGGGGAGAGGAAAAAAAAAAAAAAAGGCAGCCCGCAATTCATCCTTTATATCTTAACGTTAGTCCCTTCACAGCTGCACTGCGGCCAGGCTGTTGTTTAACACAGAGATCCTCTAGTTAAACCAGTGTTATATACACAGTAGGTCTGTGGGTAAGTCTCAGTTCTTATTGCTGTTTTTTCTGTATCTTTCTCGTGACCTCTGATTTCTGAATTTTTATTGAGGAATTTCAAGAGTGTTCCTTGACTTCTTCTGCCAGAATCAATAAAATTGTTTAAAGATGTGGATTCCAGCATATATAGATGAGCGTTTTTAATAGCAACCCTTAATTGATGCTCTCATTTTGCTGATGCTGTCCTTTGGCCAGTTCTATATTACTGTAGAACTTTCTTGCTAACTTCCTTTTTTGCATTGTAGGTAGCAATATTTCACGTGGCACCATGTGATGTTATTGATGCCCAGATAAAGCTAGATATTCTTTGCCCAGAGAACACTGAGTTTTGCTTGTCTGATCTTCTTTTTATTAAATACATGCTGCTGGGCTTTTTTCCTTCTTGTATTTGCCTCCATAGACTTTTTATTTCATATTTAATGTTCTAGTTGATGAAGTGTAGTTGTTCAGGTCTCTTTTTCTGCCTCAAAACCGCCTCACAGTTGTTATTTTTCAGTCAGGCAGTGTTGCCCTTCTTTTCTCAATTTCTGGTTCTTTTTCAACGCTCTGCATGTTTCTGAAGCCTCGTCGAAACCTGTTGACCTGTGTCAGAAATTCTGTCATATTTGATTTTTCTCTTGCTTTAGGATACGTGTTCCAGTTTGGTTTTGTTCCTTTCGACTTAATCTAAGTTCCAAGGCCTTTTCCTATCTGGAATGCATGAGTCCTTTGGTTTATTTCATAGGCAGTCTTCTTCATTTCTGAAAGGCTGCTCTTCTAAAATTGAAAACCTTAGTTTAAGACCATATTTGGCTTACCCTGCCATTAGTTTAAATTGAATAATTCATGATTGCTCAGACTGAGCTTTCACTGTTATTTGTTTTCTGAGACTAATTTTGGTTCCTACCTCTGCTGCTGGCATTTGGATTGCTCATATAGCAGCAGAATGAAATTCACATTATTCTTCATGTCACCACTACTTGGAGAATTCACAAACGTGGCAGTGAAGTATGTAAAGCTTTAAGCACCAAGATGAATTAATAGCATTGTGGATTACTGTCAGGTAAGAAGACTAAAATGTCATCTTTTTATATTGAGAAGATTATTTTTGTAACTCTGAGTCCGAAGGGCTATTCTTTATGTAAGCTTGCACTCCACAGGAGTTAATACTGTCCATTGCCCTTCATGCAGTACACTTTCTGTTTGGTAGCGATGAGCTACTAAAGGGATTTTTTTTTTGAGGGCCAGCCTTTGTCATTGGTTGTGTATACATGGTATAATTTGAGTATTGAGTGTAGAAGGGGGAGAAGAAAATAAATACTATATCAGGTGTTGGAACAGTAGAATTCTGTTCCTTCCCATGAGGTGAATTCAGTGATTTCATTATGGCAGTTTGTGGTGTCCCAACACTAAGGATGGCACGTTTTCATCCTTCTGGAACTGCCCATGGCAACAGCTGTTTCTCTTCAATAGCCCCCCTGGTTGGTTGTAAGAGCAGTAAATTGTTAGAAAATTGTTATACTTTCACCATTTTTAAAATGGTCCCTCATCCTGCCTGAAAGGTTTGCGATCAGTTAAGGACTTCAGTTTGTCTCTTCAGTGTTCTGCAGCTCTGTGCAGCGTATATTACCTAACACACTTAATGAACTGTGGATATACATGTACATTTGTTTTTTTGGGGGGGGCTAATTTGAAGTTAAATGAACATGTAGACTTGGTGTTCCAGCCCAGACAATGAATTGTGCTTCTACAACATTGTAGATAAGCAGCACACTGCACATGCTGACCTGTACGATCTTACTTCTACAGGTTGACCAGAGTACATATCCCCTAACTGTTGCTTGCAGTTTTGCTATGCCTGATGTGTTCAAATGTTTCTCTTTTCTTCCAGTTGCCTTCTGCAGGGTGCAAAGCCCTGATTAAGACGAATCATAAATTTAAAAGGAGAAGTCCCAGCCAAGCTAATAGGAGTTTTAGTGTGTGGTCTGGGGGGAATCTTTCCTTTCTGGATGAAATCTCTCTGTTTTACTCACTCCTCTTAGCGCTTGCAGCCACTATCATGAAGCTGTTTAATGATTGGTAGTCTATTTCAGTCAGAATATCCATTATTCTGGTACTCCTTTTGCAGTTTTGAAGTCCTAACTTGCATGGAGAGGAAACTTTTTTTTGTTGTTTCCTAGCATACTTATGAGTAGAAACATTTTGATTTTTTTAAGCTTAGACTGTAACTATAGTAATCTCTAACACATTGGTTTCTGTTATTTTCTTTCACTTGAGGCTGTTGTTCTGCTGTTTATGTAATTTTGTTTTAGCTTCAGCAAGAATTTCTCAAGTAAAATGTTCATTTGGGAGTAAGGGACTGTAAGCAAAGCACTTATTTCAATTCCTGTCACTGTGCTCCTTTGTCTTTGTACCTTGAAATTGAAAGTCTGAACACTTTCTGCAGCAACCTTATGTTAGAAGAGACAACCTCATATTTATTATACTGCTATAAAAAGTGAGCAGTAGAAATGAAGTGAAAGGTGACAGTTCTCTGGATAGGTAATAGAGTAAAACCACGTGGCTTGGAGAAAATAGCTAACAGTGATTTGTGTACATTGTTGCAGTTGAAACACAGTTAAGAATATGTGATGTTCATCAGAGCTTTAAAAGCATACTAACTTCTCACTCGATGAGTAAGAATTGGCCAGAGGAAGTTGAGAGATTTGTGGCAGTATCTTGCGCCCAATGAGAGGTCTTTACTGTCTTGAATATGCTCCTGAGTGGCCAAAATTCTCCTATAACAACTTGTGTGATATTCCTCCCATAGGAGCAAAACATTTACTATTTCCTCATTTGCACATTGAAATGTAATGTTAATTCAATTGTGATATTTGCAAATATCTGACTGAACGGAGTATGGGAATTGAAGCATATACATCTACCAGCTTCATTCACTCATTGTATAGGCTACATTTGGATTTTTTTTTTTTTTTTTTGTATCTTTGCATCATGTAAGCTTTGTTCTAGACATCCATCCTTCTTTTAGAACATGATGTGACCCTTAATTGACTTATAGATGCTCTGTGCGTTCATTATACAGTTCTAAGATCATGATACCTCTTTTAGGTTTGGTTTAAGACAGTGGAACATGTTCCCACTGTAAGTAAACTTGCTCTTGATTATTTTAAGGTGGTGACAAATTTTCCTTGTCATTCTGTACAAATAGAACTCCTTTAGAAAAGAAATGTTTCCACTCTGACTCTCAGTAATCAACGGTTTCAGCTTTGACCATTTCATTTTTATCCTGAAAACAGCCATTACTACTTTAACTGAAGTTCAGTTTGTTTAATGAATGTGTTCCTCTTACAGATAACTTGCCCTGGAGTGCTGTTGAAAGACAAAGAGGAGCTCTATCTCAGTGTCTCTATACTTGGGCAATACAAAAAAACTCGGTGTGTCCCTGCAGCATTTCCACTTTTCTTTCAAGAAAAACTAGTATTTGAAAAGGTAAGATAACATCAAATGCTGATACATGGCAAATAAAACATATCCCATACACACAAAAGCTCGTTGCAGAACCCTGATGTGCAAGTAACACTAGTGACACAGAGGTCAGTGCAATATTATATAGCTCCTGCATTTTTTTTGGCACAACAGAGGTGTGCAGCTGTATTATCCACACAGTGTCTCAAGAAATACACATGCTGAAGATTATATATTTTTTTAGGTGTTTATTCATTCTTTTAGGAATTGTCCTTTTTCAGTATCTATTTTCTTAGCTTGGAAAAAAATTAAATATTATTGTTTTAAAAATGCAACACAAAACTATGAGATGTGGGAGAGTCAGCTTAATCAGTAGAAAGATGGGATAGCAGCTGAAACCCTTTTGGTGACATCATTTTCCTTTTGAGATGCTTTATTCATGGTTTGTCACCAGAATTCCCAAGTTAGTATTCTGGCCTTTTAATTTATAGTTGTTTATCACATATTCTGAGTCCCTGCTAGCTTCATTATTAGTACCACAGGGGTAATGAAACACAGAATCATACAGATATGATCTGGTTCCTTGACTACCTGTGAATAATAATACTTTGCCCTTTCTAGTTCTTTTCCTTTAAGCATCCCCCTGCACTTTCAAATCTAGACTGAGTAAACATCAGTGATACTCTTGTTATGTAGGTAATGTAAAAACAGTGATAATTTTACCAACCACTGAAGAATGGAAAAAATAAAAAAGAACACAGTATTTAATTAAAGGCAAACATCCCACCGTCTATTTAAGACGGTGTACTGAATGCTGGTTTTGTTCTAATTTAGGGGAATTCCAGGACACTGGAATTTACTTGCTTAGAAAAAAACTTAAAGAGAAAGCTGAAGTAGGAGCTATTTTCTTACAAATTGCTGTTGAATGGATCTAAGCACTTGTGGTGAACAGTGCTTTGGTATTTTCAATCAGCAAAGTGATTTATACCACTCCACACTTTGTGCAGAATTACGGGGAAGTCCATTATGTGCTTAATATCCATTGGAATGTTTTTGCAGGAATTCCTGCCCAGTTCCTTGCCATCTCTTGCCATGGGATAAAAATAAAAAATAAAAATTGAACAGTACTCTGTACATGAATAAGTTAAGCTTAAAGTGTAACTAACATTAAAGAACACATTCTTCATCTATCAGACATCTAATGTATTCTGTAATTTATCTTTCTCTCCTAAAATTTTCTCAGACAATACTTTCTTCTTTCTTTCTTCACAATAGCTCCTAATTTAAATTAGGGCAGGTAATCCTAAAATGGCTAGAAAGCAACCGACAAGAACTGCTGGCTTTCAGTGAATATGATTGTGTGTCAAATGATAATTCCAGCTTCCTTTCTTTTTTTCCAAGAGGGATAGAACTCTTGACAACCATCTGAAGCAAGGAAGAATAGTGATTTTTAGGTTTTTTTCCTTCTTCCCTCAGAGATATGAGATGACTTTGTCTATGCCATTATTTTTTAAAAAATATTTGTTTGCTTTCCAGACATTTGCTAATATAGTTGATCCTGGAGACCTTGTGGAGTTGCTAGAAGGTAGGTTCTGCATTTTATGCGTATTGTGTTGTGTGCATTAATGTTATATGCATATAGGCTTTAAAGATGTTTTGGAGATTTCAATAATGTTACAATTATTTTTTTTCTATCAGCAGCCTGTCCTCTGAAAAGTTAGTGGATAACAAATGTGCATTACATACTAAATAAGTTAGGACCATAACACTAGTGACTTCAGCATAGGTTTGTTATCAGTACAGGCATAAGTTTCTTGCTGTCTTTGGGATAGTACCAACTTCTCCAAAATGCTGTTAACTAAGAAAATGCCTCTAGAATTTATGCTGTATGCTTTAGAATGCAATACGTCCTAACCAGCAGGACATCCACCTGCTTATCCAGAGAGAGAATAGTTTCCTCTGTCTGACTGCTTATTTGATTAATTTCAAGTGAAACTTCTTAATTTCACACAAAACGTCTGTATGTGTGGATGTATATAATTAAGAAAATGATATATGCCTACAGTAAGCAGTCTTACCACATCTGGAGCACAATGACCTTTAGTGAGACAGCACCAGCCCTGCATGCGAACTGCAAGAGCATGCGCCCTAATGCAGGGAGGTATCTGGAAAAGTGGTTAAGCTTGCATAATCTTCTTTACAAGATATTTCCAAAGACAAACTTATAAACAGCTGGAACTTAACAAATTCTTAGTGAAAGGGTTGCTTTTTGTATACTGCTAATGCCATTGTGTTCATCTGTAGTTGTTCTTTTCCCCAGGATTAGGCAAGTTTTTTATTTGCCCTTATTGTTGGTGTCACTGTGTACAACGCTATCAATCAGCGTGTATTTGTTTCTTTAAGTAACATCTCATTTTAGTTTAACTTACAAATAAACTTTTCTTCCTTTCTAGTTGACACAGCAGTACTTGAACTAATACAGCTCGTTCCTCCAGGTATTGTATCAGTCTCTTCATAAATTATGCAGTTTAATAGGTGAATTTCCATGAGGACATTGCCCATTACAGCACAATCACTTTTTCCAACACAAAAAAACAAAATAGGAAGCATTTCAACAAATAGTTCTCTGAATATAAAATGTTAATAGATCAGGAGGATCTCATTCTTGAAATAGAATAGCAACTGAATATCAAAACTTACCATGTCAGAAAGTTATAAGATTTAAAAAACTAATAAAAAAAAAAAATAATAAAAAACCTGAAATCATCCAGCACATCACTTATTAACTGCATCACAATTCACTTGCTGAGTGTCTGTCTGTGAAATTCAGAGTGTATCATCTTGTTCTCAGAATGGCACTTCTTTTTTTTTTCCCTTCTGTTTTAATGGTGACCACTGGGAAAACTCTTTTCTTCACTATAAGCATTACAGATCGCTTGGGATAGGTGACAATAATAAATAGCAATTTGTCATACTTTTGTTATTGGTTTGTGTGATTATAAAAATCTATTTTAATGAAATTCAAGTGTTCCCATGAATAATGTAAGTCTGTACTTTATTGGAAATAAAGTCAAGTTTGAAAGAGAACTCGTTTGGAAACTAGTATTCAAAGCACTCTCTGTTGCTCGCCTTTAGTTGTTTCAAAGAAACAATTGCTTCCCTCAAGTGATTCACTGGACTTATTTATCCAAGAAAACGTACTGAGTGTGGATTTTTTTTTTTTTTTTGGGGGGGGAGGGAGGGGAAGATTCTGACTTGAGTAATTTCAGGACTCAGAGGTACCTGTGGTACATCCCAGTGGAAGCTGACAAAATAACTGTAATAGCACAACTTAAACTTTTTTTTTAATAGAAACATGCTTTCATGGGTCACCCCTAAAGAAAATATTTTAAAAGAAAGCAGCAGACCACAATACTTGAAGAATCGTACTAATTTCAATGTTGCTTGCATTTCTTTCTGATAACAATTTGCTATTTAAGAAGCATGCATGTTGTGTGTTATAAGACAGTTTTTCATGATGTATTTGCTAAAAACTGCTGGTTTCTTCTGTGTCATGGGAAGTAAAGAAGGAGGAAGCTACGGAAGGGATTACCTTGAGGAAATTCCTGTGGCTCCTAATGAAGATTGCCTTAGCTATTCTCTGCATACTTCTTAAATAAGCAAACCGTGCTTTTAGGCCAGTGTCTGATTATTTCTGCTGCTTGATGATGTTATTCCCTACTGTGATACGAGTTATAGAGCCTTGCTGCTAATTCAAATTCCTAATTATGGCGTGTGTTTTCTTTTTAGTTGGAGAAATTCTTGCTACTTATGAAGAAAATACAAGAGATTTCCTGTTCCCTGACCCTAAGCTTACCTGTCGGCAGCACGGTGCAGATCGTGAGATTTTAATGAAGAGATCTTCTTATTTTACTGTGAGTGAATGCCTTTGGGTTGTGTTTATGGTGCAATGTGTTTCAATGAACACATCAATGAAGTAGTTCATTTTGAACTACTTCAAAAGGACAAGTGATTTCTTCTGACAGATTTTGCCAGTTCAGGTGTTGAATGTACAAATTCACAGTTGCACCTTCAGTGAAGGTATTTGTGTGTTTGTTTTTTTTTTTTTTTTTTTGAAAATGCTTCATTAAAGTGTTTAATGTGAAGAAGTTAATTTCCATGCCATGTGGTTTGCATGTGATTCTATGACGTCTCTATTTCAATTTAATCCATGATGCAGGTGGTAGTTCAAGAGGGAGATTTTGTGTCAAATTCGCAATTCTCAACAAAAAAAACGTGTAACCCACCTCTCTAGTTTCCCTTTTTAGCATTTTGTTTTCTTTTATTGTAGTGCTCAAGACTGACAGTCACTACAGATGTATACAATTCTATGGCATCTGTTCTGTGGGCCTCTCTGAGGTCCAAAGTCACCACCAAAAACAGTGACTGAAATTCAGCTTAGTGCTATGTGATTGCTTTTCAGTTACAAAGCCTGTTCTTAAAGATCTGTTCAACCTATTCATGCTCTCGTAATAACTGCCTTTTCTACAATTTTATGAAAACTGTGATAAATGACAACTAATTGGCAGAATAAGTGCAATGGATTAATGTTAATTTTTTGGAGATATGGGCTCGAGTACACATTGAGTAGAAATGAATTCATCTCACTACCCTATCAGGGAGTTTAAGACTGTTGGATCTTCGATGTCAGTGGAATACCTCAGAAAGGCACTTTGAGGATGTTGCTATTGGCGTAGGTAATGTGTTTTGGAATTTAAGTTGTACTAGTGGAGTGACAGAACGTTTGAATTAGGACTCAGTTGCCCTATCTGTTGTGATTGGATTAAAAAACACTTTGTTGGGGTGGGTGGAAGGCTGATTAAAGGTCACTGGTATCATTTAGCTGGTATAATCTTTCCCCTGCAAGGGCAACCTGGAAATTGCCCTGTCACTTGCAATTAGAAGTGCTAATTTGGTGTCTAATGCTGTGCTACATTTCAGTGAATTAAAGCTGTGATTTTGTGATACAAAGTGTACTGTTCTGCAGCAGCTTAAACTGTCCCTAAACTGTAAAGAAAAAGACATTTTTTGTCATGGCATCTCTTTGATATATCAAACTTGTCCTATGAATATTTTCAGTGGCTAAAGGGAGGGAGGGAGCCACAACAGCCTCCATTTATAAGGCTTTTAAGTTGCTGTAGTTTTGTATCCAGCTTTCAGTTACAGTACTGCATCCTGCTGTTCGTTCCTTTCCCATCACTTCATCATTTTCTCTGAGTGCAAACACACTATGCACTAGATCAGGGAACTAAGTATTTAAAAATACGTTCATCAGCAAAACCATGCTACAAAAACAACCTTAAATACAGAGTTCTCAATACAGCCACAAATACAGTGGTTCTGGTGTTGTGAATCACTGAGGGAAATACGTAGAGAAGTTTGTGCATTGTTTTTGTTTGCTGGATTAAGTTATTTAATAGAAAAAAAAAAATATTCTCTAGCAAAATAAGGTGTCATAGGTTGTGAGCTGTGAGCAGATGGGCTCAGAGTCATTTGAATGTGTAACTGAATGATGACACTGTGGTAGCTTTTAAATGTTGACTGATGATAGACAGAAATGTCCTTCCTTGTCCTCAGGAGCAGTGTAAATGAAATACATCTCTGCCCTGAAATGAGGGCTGCAGAAGCATCAGTTATACTCTATTGCATCTCCATCACAGAAAATCAGAACAGCTCCAAGAAAGGATTTTGGCATACTGACCCCATTTTCAGGAGTACTAATGAAGCTGTGTTTGAAGCAATTGGAGGAAGTCTCTCAAATAGCTACTTGTGGCTCCTCTCTTTGGTTGCAAAATGGGATTGCAATGAGAGGATTTGTATCTCCAGAAGTTGTGAAGTCTCCAATGCCTCCATCTTCTGGTGTTCCCTAAGCTCTACTGGCGAGTGTCTCCTGTCAGCACCAAGCACTGAGTGTAAACACTGAACAAAAGGCCAAGTGTTAAACAAGGTCCTGCGGACAAAAATCACTCACGTTATTCGTGTTCTATTCAAGCTGAGTTATTCCTATACAGAAAGTTATTTATGGTTAGCTGAGATGTTGAGTATTTTAGACTGACAGCTGTGCTTCTCTGGCACTTCAATTCCTAATAACTGTCTTTTAATAAAAAAGTAAAAGTAGCAACAGCGAGGTTACAGTTGTGGAGTTCAGATAGGCAGTGACAAGCAGTGTCTGATGAACACTGCTAATCTGCCAGTTGGAAGGAATCCCAAGTTGAGAGGATCAGGACTCCTCCAGAAATCTGGCACTTGGCTGATAATGTCTCTGGCTAAATGTCTTCTGAAGCTTACAAACACAATATGTGTACCAGATATGCCTCAAGTTATCTCTCCTGGTCCAGTGCTGCCCAGCTGAGGCTTTTGCTGGCTCTTCTGTGTTTCTCTGCAGCCCTTGTCCTTCAGAATATGTTTAAACCTCAACTGGTGGTGACTTCTGACAGACATTCTTATCTCCACTCCCCACCTTTATACACTATTTGCTACTTTACTTAAAACATATTCTTTTCAGTTTTGTTGTCTTTCATTAGCATACCAACAGAAGATGTTCTGTTATGTACATACGCTTTTTAAGCTTTGATATATTCTCATGCTTCTTAAAAGCACATATTAGATTTGGTTTTTTTAACTTGGTTTCCAGTGAATATGAACTACCTTAACAGTTTTCCTATGAAGAAGGTGATAGTATATCCGTGTCGTATCTGGTCAATGACTGCTACAAGAGTACTAACAAGTCTTCCACTGACACTGCTAACACAGTGGCAGGAAAATAGACCCACAAAACTTTCTGACTGGATTTTCATTTATAGAAAGTGTTTAGAGCTATAGAATGGTCTTTACATAATGCTATATAGAATATATAGCATTATATACGAATATAAAAGGGAAAACTCCTTTTTTCTGTTGATCTATAAGTTACTCATGCTATACCCACTCCTGTGTATGCAAGGGCTGTCCTGTATGTGCTCTCCATGAACCGTTTATCTGAAGAACTGTGGTCTTACATGATCTTTATCTATAGGCATGTAACAGCTCTGTTTTCGTTCTCTGTAAGAGCTCTGTTTTTTATAGACTTGCTAATTCTGATGTGTCCTTTTCTAAACTGTTGATAGCACTTGACAATTCATTAGTAATAAAACCGAGTTGATTAAAGATGGTCAGCTCGAAAATCTTTTTATATGCTGTAACTTGACTTGATTGAATGCCAGACTCTTACTAATTGCTTAACTGAGCTTTCTTGGCATTTTTGTCATTTCATTTTCATAATCTAACCTGGGGCTGGGATCGTACGCCCTTGTGGGAAATGAGTGTGTGTTTAGGCAGGTGGTAGGGAAATCCTTTGGTTCAGCAGTAACCTTCACTCATGAAGTTCCTGCTAATTCTCAGCTGTGGGGCAGGATCACAAAATGATGAGCTCCTTTTTGGTTCACAGTAATTTTGTGTTCAGTTGTACAAACGCCTTTGCATGCAGATGCCTGGGGCTGTACAGCAAGCTCTCTGTGTTGAAAGGAGAGTAGGAAGTTCTAGGGACACTTGAATCCCTATTTGCTTCTATAGAGCTGTGGTAGATGCTCTTAAATTATTCTCACTTGTCTGTGGTTTGTCTCAGAGATGCAGGGGCCTGCCACTTCGTTATTAAACATGGACCAGCTAAATTCCGCTGCCTCCGGATCAGTCAGACTAGGCCTGGCTCTTGCCAGCCACATGCTTAAGAGGTCATTGAAAAGAAACAGATTATAGGAGACAATCCATGGGAATCAGATGTTGCTCTGGGAGTTACAGAACAAAGGGGACTCCTGATGACACTGTTACAAGTGAATAGTTATTTGCAGTGTAATTGATGGATTTTCAAAATATTCTTACAAAAAGGTGACACAATTGAGACTATAAATAAATTTCTGAAGTTGACATTATTGGAACTTCCGTATCATGACTGGAATTTTTATTGATGCTATACAGCATGGCATGAAAAATCTTTAAAATTGCTTTTGACTAAGAAATGTATTGAAATGAAAGTCAGACCTTAATTGTTGTACGAAAGCAATATAATCATCTGTAATTGAATTGTCAGAAATGCAAATGTTAGCATCTTGACATTTACCATTGCTGTTCTGTCTTTTCTAATTATCTTTATTAAAGGCTGAAATTAACAAAGGAAATGGCTGGAAATTAGGGATGGTTTGTTACATTAGGTGACATTTACTTCTTTGATACCCTTTATCTTGAGTTGGGGCTTGATGTTCAATTATTGTCTCTCTTCTAGGGAATTGCACCAAAATTGAGATTTTCTACGACCTCCCTTATTACTGAAAGTCTGTTAAGCTCAGGAAGGAGTCACGTACAGGTTAGCATAATTTAATTGTTTGCAATTTAATTTCTAGATTTAATATTGATACGCTTTGTTTCAATTTTTTGCATATGCTGCTCACTTCAAACTTTCCTCATTCTTTTGTTGTGGTTAAAGCAGTTGTCACGGGTGCTTGACAACTCGATTAAGTTTTTAATCGAGTATGAGTAAAGAGCGGGTCTGCTGCATGACAGTAAATGCTGAGAGTTCCTTGAATCTGAAACAATTATCACCTGCTATTTTCTGTGATCAGCTGAAGTGTTAATCCCTGGTGTATTGCAGTGGGAAGGTTCACTGTTTGGTACAGGCACTTAGAATTAAGGTGGAACAATGAAACTTTGTGAAGTCAGAGAAAGTCAAAAACAAACCAATTAATTGTTTTCCATAACGATGTCAGTAGCAATCAAAACGAAGATTTCTGTTGCAAAACCTATCACTAATGTTAATCTGGAAACGCTGCTTCTCCGGTGAGTAAAGTTAAAGAAGTAGTAGCTGAAAAGAGTGGGGAGAAATACCCTCTCTGATGCATTAGTTCAGTTTGTGTCACTTTTCTCTGATCTCACTGGTTTGTGTCATAGCTTCCTGGGACAGACTGTCACACAAAGTTACTCTTACATGCTCCTCCTTCTCTGGTTTATTGCAAATGGTGCAGCATCAGTCAAATGGAATTGTTAAGAAGGTATGTGTGCAAAAAGGACGAGATGACTTTGATCCATTCATGGTATTGTTCATTAATTCACTGAGAAAATTCAATTTTAGCAAAATATATTACTGAGACACTTGAAGAATTTCTTTTTTAAAAAAAAAAGAAACAATGAAAATTAGTGTTGGTAGAAAACTAAACTCATTGAAGGGGGCTTCAGTAAAAGCAGCTTGATTTGAAACTAAAGAATGACCTTAAAAGTATTTAATATGTTACAAAATTTCCATTAAATTTTCATGGACTACAGTGAGGATTTAATTTTACAACTAGTTTAAGCCAGGAAAACATGTAGTCTTCTTCTGTTAAAGTTGAAATTATTCTTAGAGTGTTAGATTCTATTTTGTTTGGGACAGTTTCACATTGTGGCTCACTACCAGCTGTGTAAGTGCAAGTACAGGCAAAAGAAAGCAATGTGAACTGTGTTTGTGATGCCAGATTCACGCTATGCTAGTACTAAACACTCAACCTCATCTTGTTTTCATTGTTATATATGGAAGGGAAGACACAAAGGTAAGCTAGGTATTTTTTTCCTAGGTTCTCCTGAAGTAAAATAATGCATGCAACATTCATGTTTAAGAATAATGTCAACTTAAGCTTGAAAAGTAATTTCTAATTGGAAAACAAAAATCTTGCCATACTTTTATTTTTGAGCTTCTGAAACATGGGAATTTAGGCAAAATTTGGCTTAAAAGCCTAATTATCCATATGCCACTGACTTTAGTAGTCTGATAAGAATTGTATAATCTAGAATTCCTTGACCTATAATGCTTCCAGAGTAATTAAATGTACATTTAATGCCAAGAATTGCAAAGGAATGATAATGTATTTCAAATAAAACTTCAGTGTTGGAGTGAGTTTTGCAGTCTTTTGAAGTGGTCACTGCAAATTTGATAATTATTTGGAATAGGAGCTAATCTGAATTGTTAAGTAGGCTTTCCAGTGAAAAAACAAGCAAACAAAATACTCGTGTATTGTACTGTGCACAGGGAGCTGCTGAGGGTGATTGTTTCCCAACTTTCCTCCATTCTGTTAAATGTGAGTATTTTAAAAGCAGCATCGACTCGGAGATAAACTTCTAAAGCAGTATGAGAAAATGGTGTGATTTTTGTAAATTTTGACTGAAAAAATACACTCTTTGGATGTAAACTGGCAGCAATACGAATAAACAGCAACTTCTCTTCTTTTGCAAAAGGATTCACCTGATTCAAGATAATCTTGGGAAGATGGTCTGTTTTTTTTTTTTGTTTTTTTTTTGCTGTTGTTTGTTATTGTACAAAACATTCTTGATTAAGACACACTATTCAAGTAGTAAATTGACTGTGTTCCAAGAAAATATAGATTTCAGAGTACAATTACACTTCTTGTGACTTTTAGGCAACTTTAAATGATCTGAATGGAGAAGAATTTTAAGATATGTATTTTAGAAGTTTTAAACAGATGAAAAATCTGCACAATTTTGTATGTCCAATGCTGATAAAGCTTATGTTAAATGAACTTGACAGAAACCCCAATTTGTTTTTTTTATTTTGCAGTCTCTGTATGCTAAAGGAATGAGCAAACTAATTGAGTGAAGTATTAGACACTTAACTTCTAACAGGTGGTAATGTGTGTTTTAACCTCCTTTTGGATTCTGACAAAATGGTAAATACATTGTTGGTTTTTAAATTGCTGTCTGATTATAGTCTTCTGAGAGGAATTTCAGCTGACACATAGCATCAATTTCTGTTAAAATTATTAGTTCCCTGTTTCTGTTACTGTCAGTGGTCTTTGTTCTGCATGCTGTCAAAGCAGATAATTTCTCTTTTTCACTTTAGGATGATTTGAATTGGGTACATCACTCAACTCCAAATGGAAAACTGCAAACAAAGTTACCAAAGAAAAACATGCTTTCACCTGAGAAAAGCAGGCACAGTGTAGCAAGAAAGAACTATGAGCAGCCTACCATAGCTTCCAAGTCACGTTCTCCATCTCCATACACAAAAAGACGAATGTGTGAGCTGTCAGAAGAAGCCAGGCAACGACTTGCCCACTTAAACCTTGGTCCCTACGAATTCAGAAGAGAAACTGATAAACCTCCATTTGTAGTTAGACGGGTTTGTATTCTCCACAAAGTGCTTCTAGTTTAGTCTGAGATCAAACATTGTTCTTCCACTGGATACTGTTCCAAAAATTCATTCATCTGTTAGTTTAGATGAATAATTTCTCTCCTTTCCAGTCTGTCACATAGTTATTTAAATATAAAAGAATTTTATTTTAGTTAATGTTATCTGTTAGTAATAGACAAAGATCAAATTCTTTCATGAGTATCTTGGTTAAATTCTCTGAGGCCCCATTTCTTTTTTTCCAGCACGGTAGACAGTATAATAGCTGTATAAATTCAACTTGGAAGTAATTGATATTAGTATTAAAAAATCCTGAATAAGACTTTAAAGAAGAGGTGTCTAGTCACATTGAGAACACACACACTGCCTCTTTCAACTTTGTTAGCATTCTCTGATCTTTGAAACACTTGCTTTACTCAAAGCTACGTCTCTGATACTTTGACTTACAGCTGATAACCAGCCTGCATTTAGCACTTAAACAAAATCTGCATGTGGAAAAACTGTTCTGAAATTAAGTAGTTACTTGAAGAAACTTCATGTAAGTGCTTTTTTGCAGGTCCAGGTTGCCCAGCCTCTTGGATGAACGTGTTCTCCTGCAAATTGCTTTGTCACAATTTGGCCATCCTCCTTTTTAAGGATATTGCTGAGAATGTGTAGGGCCCAAGATAGAATTGTTCTGACTCTGTGCTGTGACACGATTTCTCAACAATTTTGAACATTTGTCACAGCTACTGAGATAACTTAGCATTTAATTAGTTTGCCTGTCACACTATTTCATTTTTGTTTATGTACGAGTAGTAATAGCTTATCAAATTCTAAAATTCTTTCAAAAGTTTTCTTCTACTTGTAGGTATGTTTTTCTAAAATTCAAATTAGTCTTATTAATCCATTAATTATTCATCAGCCTTCAATTTGTCTTTCTCTGTTATTTTTCTTTTATCTCCTGCTAATCAATTTTTTCTGGTTTTTGATCTATAGGTGAAGTTCACAGTTTAATTACAACATCTGTAAATACTGATTATTGATTTCAGTTGTTCTGTTATATTTGTACAGGAAGGAAAATTCTTGTCTCTTAATGCATCCCTTCCTGGCATCATGGCCTTTCTAGAGTGAGAATGCTCTTTTCAGAGCATCTTTACTGCTGAGGTGTCTTGGTTTGGCAGTACTACATTGACAATTAAAGTTAAATTATGTTAAAATGTAACTTTTTAAACCTAGGAACAGTAGCACTTTGTAAGGTCTGAACATTTTGGAATAAATATGTGGTATCACATGGTCTTTAAAAAGATATCTTCAAAAAGATGTTATAGATGAAGGAGAAACTGTCTGCTTTTTTTATTCCTTTGAACAGTGTGACATTCAGGCCTTTCTAGACCTTTCTAGAACTCTTTTTGTTTATATGCGATAATGCTGATAATATAAACATTAAGAACACATTTTTAAGTAGTATCTGAATAAGAATAAATGATTTTAGAAAGGACTGGATGTGGTCTTATGGGGGGGGGGGAGGAGGGGAAGGGAATTAAAAATATGTATAGAAATTAACACATCTGATACTGCACCTCTTAACAGTAGTTTTGCTTCAGGTAGAACAACCAAGTCCTGGAACTGAGCTTTATGCCCGCTGTACCCTGCAAGAAGGCACAATGGAAGCTTGGTCCAAGGTAACCCGTGGTCAGTATTTAATACTGTTATCTCATTTAATGCTTTTTTTTTTTTTTTTTTTTTTTCTCCAGTTTTTTAGTCAGGGGGGTTGTTTTTTTTTTTGGGTTTTTTTTTGGTTTGAAACAATCTCTATTGGAGAAAAACCTGCTCCTCTTTGGTAGGAAGAATAAGAGCACTGAATAAACCTATTGTTGCAAAAGGTGGATTTGCATATTTCTTTACCTCGGGGAAACTTGGAACGTAGTTCTACATGATAGGAAAGTAGGAGCAGAAAATACCAGAGTCCAGGCACTCTGTTCCAGTCCACCTGTTTCGATTAGTTGCATAGAGGAACAAATCTGCACATCAGTCGCTGTGGGTGTGTTAGTCATGCCTGGAATGTTGATCATTTTGAAATTCAAGAGCTCTGTTGCTTCAAAAATGAATAATGTGTATATCAGCTTTTTTTTTTTTTTTTTTTTTTTTTTTTTTTTTTTTAAGTGGATCTGTGGCTTACAATTGTTAATGAGCATCCAGGATGCTTGCGTGTCTCCTTCCACTTTCACTGGCAAGAGTAACTGAGTGTTTTATAAAGAGTGTGGAACAAGAAATTTAAATCTTTCTTTCTTTTTTTTTTTTTTTTTTGTAATAGTACTGAGTGCAGGATATTAAAGGGTTACTCATTCTTGTTGGGATTGTGCCTATCAATCTGTTGTAGCAAGGTAATATAATAGACCTATTATCATCTAGTATCGTTATGTACTTACAAATGAGTTGATGATATCTAGCCAGTGGCTAGGAGAGAGAAACCTGCCTCACAACTAACATCCAAATGGTTTACTAGTCATGTTTCTATGTTTTGAAGCTCAATTCTAATTTTTATAAAGCACAAGTTCCTGTGATTGCAGTACAATTTAGTCTGGTTTTGCTTTTGTGCAGATAGATGATAATGGGTTGTCTTTAGGGCTGCTCAGTGCAGACTGATACAACTGATGAAGAAGGCAGACATAATTAGTTGTCATTCCCTTTGGGGTGAGGTGCATATTGACAGTGGTTGGACACCCTGAGCTGGTGTGGATTTAATAGTTCCTCCACTGTTGCTTCTGTGGTCTTCATAACTTGTGTTTATGAGCCAGTGATGAGGGAAAGAACAAGGAGGTGATTAGAGGAGAAAGAGGTGGCGGTAGGGAAGCTTGTTCCAGAAAGTGTGGGAAGGTAGAGTAATGTAAATGAGATTTTTTTGAGATTGGTAGAGTTTTACTTTTTATTGATTTAGACAAGTAATAGCTTAGCAAAATGTACTACTTCTGTCTATGTAGAAGATTGTGCTTGCCCTGATTTAATGTTATTAACACTGTATTGAGTAAAATGTGAGGTCATTGTTTTCATCTGAAGGTAGTAAAATATTACTGGGAAGACTGTTTAGAATTTCACAGTCTGTAATAATAACTTGGTTTATTAATGTTTGGGAGAAGAGGTAAGCTATTTTGTAAAAGATTTTATAAAACAGGGCATTCAAATTTTCTTTTGAATTTCTTGAAGTATACAATTTTTTTCTTTCTCCAGATCTTTCTCTTCTTGGCAGCTACAGACCCAAGAAAGCCAAAGTGAGTACTCTGTAGTGCTGTTTAGAAACTAGTTTTGGGGGAAAGCTCTGAGTGAGGAGGTTTGTTCTGTGTAGGTACGTTTGTAATTGTCTACTGCACTACCAAAAACAAGACAAAGGATGTTTAAAATCTGATATAGCTCTTTTTATCTCTGTTGGGTTATTTTGAAATACAGATGTGAAACAATATTCTGTGATGTGTCTATGCCTGTAGGTAAAGGACTTCTCTTTGGCATTAAGGCTTGTGGTAAGACTGTAGAAGAGCCTTTAGAAGTAATTTATAGAAATCTGCCTGGTCATTCTGAGATCAAACTTTTTTCCAGAATATTATGCGAAGGTAGCTCAAGTACAAATGGCAAGCCACTATTTTGTCATTTCACATTTAGTTATTAATATTTTAGCTGCTTTGCAAAAAGTGGATCTGAAGATAATGTCAGGGTTCTATCTTGTTCTGTTGTAAACCAGGGTAACCCATGGAGACATCTGCGTGCTGTATTTCAGATTAAGAGGAGCTATGAAAGGAGTAAATGAAAGAGTTAAGATTGACTAGGAGATAGACGAGAATTTTTCCTGGAGGAAGAAAAAGTCATGAAAAAAATAAGTCTGAGCAGGGGTCCCGGACTGAGGAGAGGTCTGAGGTTTATTGGTGTGGACTCTTGGGTGTCACCCTGAATCTCTGAGGATCCTGTGACATGGGAGACTTTACACTATGCAGTCAGAATAAGATGATAGCCTGAAAACCAGGCTTTGCTGTAATACAGTGTTAGATACCAGCAGGGAGCACTTCCTAGTTCAAACTAGGGCTCCTTTTGTAAAATGGGGATCTTTGTTCTTCCCCAGCAGGTGGATATTCCTGCATGTATGGAAAGCCTGTAACCCTTCAGTTTAAAAAAGAAAACTGTACCTCTTACCTCTTGATATTCATATTACATTTTAGCAAGGTTTGGTGTTTTTTCTTGTTGTTTTTAACAGGCAAGATCTACTTATGGGAAAGACCATGACAATTCTTCTGATGTTTGTAGTGAGGATGTGATCTCTGGTTCACCCAACAGGCTGGCCCATTCCGGCGGTTCATTAGTGCATTCAGCACCTTCAGCATTTCAGAAGCATTCTCTAAGTTCTGTACTAAATCGATCTTCTCTAAGGGAAAGGTAATAACTTGTTCTTGTTTGTGAAATTCTGGAATCATTAACAGTACTTGCATGACCATAGGTTTCGTGTTTGGAGTTTACACTGGATGAAAAGACAGATCTTTCCCTGTCAACTATCTTGTATTTTCTATTTTTTTATCTTGTACTTTGTATTTTTATCAGGAGCTGTGTTTGCCATCACCTCTCTGCTTAACGAATACGATACAAATAATATGGCAATGAAAAGGATCCTTGACCTCTTTCTTGCTGACCTCCCCTGAAACAATAACGTTTCTGATTACATGTCCCCAGTGTCCACCAAATCTTAAATAGGGAGAACTTAAATGGGTAAATAAATAATGTTTCAAAGGGCATTAGACTATCAGGAATACAAATACAGATATATGTTAAGCAGGATATTTTAGAGCTGTTTGGAAACCTTTTTTTTTCTTCTGTCCTTTTCACCATAGCGTTTGTAAGTGTGTACTTCTAGTTGTGCTGTAGTCAAATATGTGACTAGTTTGAGTAATGTCCATGGGCCAACTTTCATATAATTAGTATATTTACAGACTGAGGTGATCCTTCTGCTTTATTTTAAGCTGAAGTATTGGCCTCTGTAGCAATTCTGTGTATATCCATTTCTGTATATATATAAAAAAAATATATATACATATATTTTTTTTAGTCCTCTAATATTAATATCCCCTAATTTGGTGGATTTCAATCCTTAGGTGAGTATGTAGAGCAAGCATAGAAGTTCCAGTGTCTTGAGAGGGTGAAACAGAAGAAATTTCAACAAGCAGTTTTTTCATATTTACGCACTCCAATCCTGCAAGGAGAGTATTCCCTACTTGCTGCTAAGTAGAATGTGTCCTGGGTACATGATGTTCCTGCTATACATTTGGCTTAATAGGTTACTAGATGACTTTCTAGGGGTAGAAAAGTTGTATGCAAATCTGGGCCTAAATAACCAAGTACCTAAAACAATTTGAAGGTGCTTGGGATCAAACTGATGTCCTATCCCTTGATTCTGAAGTGTTTATCTAAAGCCATACTTGTGTATGTGTTCTGACAGCCTGTTCACAATCATTTCTGATTCTTTTCTCCTTATTACCATTGGTACCTCATTTAGTGAGTGCTCAAAGGGTGTGTTTTGTAGCCTACACACACTCTAATACTTTATTTTTCCTCCAAAAAAGGAGATCTATCTCAGTTTTCTCCTTTTAAAAAGAAAAATGACAGATGGCAGGTGGGGATTGAATTTTTTTTAGAATTCAGATCAAGTTGGTGGTTTAACATCTTTCTCTGCTTGAAAACTTGCTTGGTTGTTCTTCTGTGTAGTAGTATTTCCTGGGAGCTGTTATGTGAAAATCAGGATGTGTTTGGGTTTGGAGAAAGTGTGTTGTTCGGTTGTTTTTTTTTCTTATCATCTTGTCTACGTCCCCACATTCTCTCATGTGGTCAATCCCCTCTTCTTACATTGTGCACTAGTTAACTATGTCTGGGTAAGAGATTGTAATGGTGATTGTTTATTTGCTTATTTAATGACTGTATTTAAAGATGACAAAGTCTTTTCTATTGATAGCAAGGAAATCTTGTGTGTTGTGAGCCACTGTTACTCAGCAAGTTAGTCATTCTCCAAGTCATCGTAAAACCATCTGAATGTTCTTGCCTTTTCTCATTACCAGCCCCTCTCTCCAGAAGAGATAAGTGCCTTTTGAAGTTTCTTTTCTCTTTAGAACTAATATTCTTAGCTCTTCTGAGATGTAGCATCTTTTTATGTTAAAGACCTGGGTATTTACTTCTGACATTTTTAAAAAAAAAAAAAAAAAAAAAAAAAAAGGGGGGGGGAAGTAAAGGGTATATTTTGGAAAGTTTGATCTTTGTGTTCATGCTGCTGAGGTAACAATGGATTTAGCTGACTGTATGCAGAGACGTGTAGTTGGAATGACAAGCATGGATCAGAGGTCAATGTTTGGAAATGCATGCAAATGCTGTTTTATAGATTATAGAAATACAGAGGAAATCAGAAATATTGGATGTGTGGCAGTTTTAGAGTATTTGCAAGATGATATCTTATCTGACAGTGATTTGATTGTTATTTCCTCAATCTTATTTTGAATTACAAAGACAAACAGCTTCACATATACATACTGTTTATTCATCTGATCAATCCATGGTCAATACAAAACTTGGCAACTTACCTCAGCCTTTCTTTACTTCCTTTTTTTTGTTTTGAAGTGAGCATGAAGTGAATGTCTGTCATTCTGAGAGTACTTCCTCATAAACCTGCTGAATAGTTGTTAAGCCACTTCAATACCTTTTGGTGATGCAGAAGTTTGGGGTCTTGCATAATGCCCCCTCGGGAATCTTGCATCCTTTGTAGCAGTTTCCATTTCTTTCATGTGAGCCTTTTTGAGAGATCTCAAATCAATGCTCTCCCCTTTTCCACTGAAGTTGAGCCAATAACAGAACTGTAAACAGTTTTAATGTTGGATAAGGCTCCAAAGTTTTGAATATTTATTTTTCATATTTTATTTTTACACTTTTCATTATTTAGGTCACTGCAGGAAAGCATTTGTTGTGTTGCAAACTGAATCAAAATAGAGTGATGAGGCTGTGCATCTTCATGCCCTATTTTGATTTTTATTTCCTATGCAGAGCAATGATGCATGCATGTTCTTCCCTGCTTATGATGTCTGCCCAGCTTCAATCAATGTGGTTAAAATGTTATTTGCCCCCACAGGCTGGTTGTTTGTGCATAGATGCTTTGTGAAAGCATTAGAACTGCTGTAGAAGAGGAAAATTTGACTTCAGTGCTTGCTTTCATAGTGCCTGTATATCGTCATACATGCCTAGAGGGTGGTGGTTTTCTTGGGGACTTGCAAGCTTAGCCTTCCTTGCAGCACTGAAATCTGCAGCAAAATACAAAGCTAAAGTCATCCTTCTGTAAAGAAAAGTAGGCTAGTGATAGAAGTCCTCTGAATGGAGCTATATGATGGCACAAAAGAAATTCTTTTCTCTAGAGACTACAACAGTCATAGCAGTATTTGATCATTTCTCCTATGTTGAGAAACAAAGTTATTTCTCATGCATTTGAGATCAAGGGATTTTTTTATTGATCTGAAAAGTAATCACTTCCAGAGCAAAGGCCATTCCAATGTCTTTTTGAGATTCTGGTTGCTCTGCTGAAATGTGATCTTACCTACTGTAAAATCTAACAGAAGTCTAAGTTCTGTTTGAAGCAAGACAGAGGTTAACTGCTTGGATCAGATAGCTTCTATAATATTCCTATACTGGTTTTCTACCATCTTTTTCTATCGTCTTTTTCCTAGTACTAGGGAAATATCAGCATGAAATGCCACCATACTGGATCCTACTACATCCCGACTGCAGGTAGTTTACCCTCCTGTATTTTAGAAAGCAGAATGCATCCTAACCCAAGGTTTACTTCTGTGTGAATGAATGTTTAAATTCTGAGAGCTTTCTGCTACTAATTGGAACTCTAAATAATTTAGCAGACTTCTCAGAAGGTGGCTTGCTCTGGGAAGAGACTGCGACTCAGTCTCCAGCTTGATTTTAGCCAAATATTTTGGAAGTTTTGGAATTCAGTTTCACAGTGAAGTAGTTCTCAAAGCTTTGGGATTTATCATTCTCACCTTTTGAGGACCCTTTCATTATTTTGCGTTCTCTGAGTTGAATTCTGGGAGCAGCACTCATGGATCAGTTATTCTATACCATACATTGCAAAGACTGTGTAGTACAGAAGCCTTGTTTCATGTTTTTAACCAACTTCAATACTATTTATCAACTTCATTTCTCAGTAGGTAAATTTGAAAGTGACTGATGTCAAAACTTTTGCCTATGAATAAACATATACAAAGAAGTGGGAAAGCTGCCAAAGAGTACAAGAAAGTTCAGCCCATTAGTGACATCTTAAACATCTAGAGCAAGAATGCCTAGAACTTTTGATGATATTATTGGGCCTGTGGTTGAGATCTTGAGCTGCAGTATTGAGCTTGGAAATTGTCTGCCTTTTGGAATTCATGTAATACATGAGGATGATTTCTCTTGCCCCAGTTTTAAAGGCCAGAGCTGAAGCTTAGGAGGGGAAAAGAAAGCATCTGTGAATTTTACATCTCTGCACTGAAGTTGTAACAGTAAATGGTGCTTTTGGAAATGAGAGAAACTCTTTAGAAGGAGTTGCTTTTTTTTTTTATTAGTGGTTTTTGTTTGTTTTTCTTTTCCTTTTATTTCTTACTGTAGCAGAAGAGCAACTGTCAGCTTCTGCTTCCAAATGCTGAAACTGTTCTTTGATTTAAGGCATTGGCTGTGTGTAGTGGTTTCTGCTTCGTAGTAGGTATATTGGCATTGTGAAAGCAGCATACTTCCTTCACTTCAAATATTGTGAGAATGTAAGGATTTTCATATTGTTTCTCTTTTATGAATTGTAATGAAAATGTGTGTACCAATATAGTCTCTGAAACACTTTTGCACTTGTACGTCTTGTACTAAGGTTTATAGCCATCAGGTATTTTAAGAGAAGGCAAAACAAAATTGTATCCTTTATGAAGTAGACCAGTAGAACAATTAAGTGCAGCTCAGCTACTCTGTTGTGCCTCCATTGCAGACCAGTATATATTGAGAACTAAGTTCATCTTGCTAGATTACTACTTTACGTCTTTTTGAGCAAGTATAAAGTAACTTCTCCACTTTCTGTGCACGCTCATAAATATCCTGATTGTAAAGTCTGTGACTCTTTTTATCCATTTCAGAGTTAAATATATTTGGGTTTTCTGAGAATCTCTTTTGCTCCACGCACAAATTCTTGTAAGATTGTTATTTTCAAGGTTATATTTAGCTTAAGAGTTATTTTTCTCCCTTTCCCCCCCAATTACAGTAACATCCTCTCCAATTGTGAATCTGGTACCACAGTACTTCATTGATTTCTATCCTCTGATAGTTTGTCCTTGTATGTGGTTTTGCTCAGCATGAAGTCTGTGTCTTTGAAGCTGATGAATTCTTCATGGAGGCCAGATGCACAGAGTTGTTCACAAGGCTGGGAGGTGTGATGGTGAGGGAAGGGGTCACGATAGGCATTGCAAATATTCTGCAGCAGGCTTTTTGCATTAATTCTACCGATCTGAAATGTATTAGTATCTCCTGCTGAAATGCGATATTAACATTTTTGCTTTGTGCCAATGAACGATTGGATTGTCTGACATTTGAAAATTCCTATTTATTACTGCTCTCAAGTTTGCAAGCTGCTGTTTCACTAGAGTAGGTGGATGGATGTATTCTGTTTGTATTTCTAATGGAGTATTTCGTCCTAATGGATAGAATTCTATGCAAAAACAAAACAAAACAAAAAACAGCTTTAATCTTTAACACAAGATCTAAACTGTGCTTGGCTTCTTTTTTGTTCTATCAAGGTAGATGTCTGCATGACCTTTTAAAAAAAAAAAAAAAAAAGCCTTATCTCATAAAGAGTATAAATGCCTTTAGTCACATTATGAGGGAAAATGGTTCTGTTTCCTTGATTGTACTCAACACAACATCTTTGAAATTAATCTTGAGAAGTTCTCTGATTGATCTGGCTTTTTCTAGGTCACTGAGCTATATTTCCAAAGTGTTTATACAATCTATTGGAATCAATAAACAATTTAAACTGATGTAACTGCAGAATGTTTGCAAGTCCCAGAGAAAATTGAAAGTATGACAAAGAATACAGCTATAGAAGTTTATTTTGTTTATCAGGACAAACAGTCATTGAAGTGAAATGACTTTCCTTCCAGTGTTGCAGTACAATACTGACACCTTAATCACATAAATAAGTAACCAGTCTTTTTAGAAACACGGTATTAGTCATGTTAGGCAAATGGAATCTTGTTGTTTATGGCTTAAGACGCTGTGCTCTAATGCCTGTTCTTAAAACATTTCCAGAAGGAGAGTTACCGTATCATAAATAGGTTTTACTTCAGATGATGGGTGTTACATTTCAAGGCAGGAATTTCAGTATGCATTTTGGTGGATGTAAATATTGACACTATGATTTTAAATGTAGTTTAGATTCAGCAGTTATTACTAAAATTAGACAGTGACAATACTAGCAAAACTAATTAAAATAAGCTGATACTGCTTTTAATCATACTTAAGGTTTTGATTCTATTTTTCCCTTGATAAATTCAGTTTGGGATGTATGTGAGTGGCCAACATTTCTTATACCACAGCGCACACTAGTGGATTGATCAATGAAATCACCTGGAGAAGGAAATCTAATAGTTCTTGATTTAAGTAATTTGATTTTCTTCTTGCAAACGTAGCCAGATATTTTCTAAGTGAATATAGTAGCAAACTGTGCTTTCTTTTTTCAAAAGTAAATGCACATATCTCCAAGGATATTTGTAAATTTGAGATTAATAACAATGATGTGAAATCTTACATAGGAATTTCATAAAATTTATTTCCCCAAGGTAATCTGTTCCAACTTCTCACTGCCAGCAACCTGGATTTGGAAGAACAGCAGCCACTGTATAAATACGAGGGAAATGCCATGACTTCATGACTCTAGCTTTCATTTCCTAAAAATTGAAAAAGACTCACTGCATCTCGAATGCAGATTTTTAAACATGCATTTTGGATGTTCTATAATATTGGTGTTTGTAAGGGCTAATTGCAAGCCTAGAGACGTTTTTAAGAGCTTTTTCATTCCTGCATGATCTGATGTAGTGAAGCACATTTGAAGTAGTGTGCTTTAGCATGACTACGGGGTTGGGGTTTTGTTCAAAATGTTGCTGGTGATACAGCACACACTTCATAATGCTGTCCAGCAAACTGAGTTTGGCTTCATTAAGAAGTGAATGTTCCTGCCTGCCTAAATGACTTAGACCTCTATTTTCTTTAAAGGCAATGCTTTCTAAACAAAATTCACACATATTACTTTGCTTTCTTGTAGGAAAAATTATGTGAGGACTTTTAATGCAACAGATCCTTGCATTCTATGTGTAAAGTAATTGAACTGTATGGATTTGCCATACATGCTGTTGGATTTGAAATTAATTGAAAATGTTTAGGATGCTAATATGGATGTTCTTATAGCCAGCTCTCTGAAAACCCTTGCCTGTAATGAACCAACAATAAACTCTGTTGGATGTCATTAGAAATCCAGAAAATAGATCCCCCCTATAGATTATATGATTCATCCTCACAATATTGTGCCATTTATTGGCACTCTTTCTTGGAGAAAAATAGAATTGTTCAGAAATAGATGATTTGATTTAAGGAAACTCATAAATGGGCTGAAGATATTGGGGTTGTTTAGAATAGAGAGATTTTGGAGAGGTAAACAGTAACTGAGTCTGCGTTAATTATACACGGGACAAGGAAAGAAGCAAAGGCAGAGAACTGCTCACTTTCTTCTTGTATGGTTGTATAATAACAGAAGATATGAGAAGTGGACAGAAAGGCTCACAGCCCCAGTCCAGCTGATCTACAGCTGGCTGCTTATATTCATATATGTATATATGAATATGTATGAATATATATATGTATGTATATATATATGTACATATATGTTATATATATATATAATATTCATATTTAGCACGAGTTTTTGTGTTATTTTCTTGGTGCAAGTCAGTTTCTTGGATGCTAGGAAACACTGAAATGTAGATACTTGAACCTGATCTGGCACCCTGTTTCTATTTGCTCTGATGATGTTTTTACTTACACGTTACACTCCCAACTCATTTTTCCCCAGTGAATTCATTCTTAGTGTTTTCTCATTTGTTTGTCGGTTGGTTTTAATACATATTTGAGTGTACTAAAGTCTGGAGGTTGGAGTGTAAATAACCCTATTCTTAAAATCTTGATTGCATCCTCCAGTAGTCTGAGAATAACGTGAAATTTTTGCCAGCTTCTGAGCTTGCTGAGAAGGATGAGAACCTTATTTTTTTTTTCTTTCTTGAATAAACTGGTGAAGAAAAGTTCTGCAAAATGTAAAAGAAGATCCAAAAGTGACTGTGGGTTTTAAGTTGCCCAAATCAAGCAAACTATTTTTATTTTTGATGTTTGTTTTTTTTTATAAAAAAAAAAAAAAAAAAACCTTAATATGTAGCTCCCTCCTATGAAGTCAGGATTGTGAATTTGCATTTTTTGAACTCTGTGGGCTTTCCTATTTGCATTGGGGTTATCTTTCTGTTGATTTATTCCAGTGGAAAGAATTTAATGTGTGCAGTATTTGCTTTAAAAAGAGAAAAACGAAACCTGATCACTGGGAATAGCATGACTGTATAGCTTTTCTCTTCTGTAGGGACAAACAGACATTGCAAAAATATTACTTGTTACAAAATCATCGTTTTCTGTGCTTTGTATCCTGTGCTGGAATTGTAGATGCATGTTGTTTATGCAGTGCTTCAAAATGTTTATTTCCTTGTACTCCAGAGGAAAAAAAGAATCAAATCTGAACATTGCGTACATTCCAAATAGAAGGAAGCTATGCATGCTTTGTAATTTTTAGAAAATAAAATAAAAATCAAAGGGAAAAGTATGTTAGAGCTTTTCAACTTGCAAATATTTCTTCTTTTTTGTGGTTGTTTTTTTTTTTTCCTCTTGCAGATTCAACTCTGGTTGGCCTCCACCAGCAAATGGAGATGAGATCCATAAAAGAGTGAAAAATATTTTAAGGACACACAGTGCTAGACAGCGCCTAGTGTTTGTAAGTTTGAATACTAAGTCCTTTCTACTTTCCAAGATGACTGAGGAAGAGAACTAATTGTGCTTATACTCTTGAATTTATTACGGTGATGTTTTTTGAGGCACATTTGATTTAGAAATGTGAATTTAATAAGTAAGCTGAACTCTTTCTCACTGTTTTCAGTAGCCTTCTTGTGTGAAGCTCTTGTGGACAGGTGGCAACCTCATAAGGGTATAGAGGACAATTACATTTTCTTTATATCTGATTCCACTGTTTTCACTGTAAGCAAAAAATGTTAGCGATCTATTATAGAACACCGTGGCTTAACATGTTGTGCATCTGCACATAAACAGCTGCTGGTGTCCAGCTGTTTGTAGAGCTAATATTATTCTCCAGTTGTTTGTGGATTTTTTTTTTCCCTCCCTTTAATTACCTGGCTCTAAATGAAATCTAACATTATTAAGCCTGGGATCAGAATGCTTTGTCCTTGAGTCGGATGGAATTTTGAAGTCTGATTTTAGTCAGTCATTTTTTGCCACTGCAATTTTGAGAAACCCACTCCTGGCACAGGATTTCTCTCAGCAGAGCATTTGTAAAATATTGTTCATCTGCAGAGAATTTAGGGGTCTTAAGTCTGAGATGAGGTAAAGGAAAGGTAAAAGGATATAAGGGTGAGAGTAGGTAAGGTAGAGATAAGGAGCTCTGAATTTTTTTTTTTTTGTCTGACAATCTACCGCACTGATGTTATTGATTGGTTCAAAGAGATGAACCCCTCAAGTGGGGAAAGATCTTTTTTCTTTGCTTCAGCTTTCTTAGAAAAAGGAGTGTTGTCCCCAGCAGTCCACCTCACCCCTCTGCCAGAGTTTACTGTGTATATAGGAGGCATGATAAAGGATGGGGAAGCCTTAGTCTCCCCACCTCGCATTTCCATGAAGAGAAAGTAGGTGTACCAGTAGTGCACCAACAATTGAACTCTGCTGACAGAGATGCAATAACTACCATTAACTCCTGGGGCAAAAAAAAAAAAAAGAAAAGGGTTGTTGTCTTGACTTGTTGCTGCATGATGTACTGAAGAACATCTGCCTTGGCTCTGAAGTCTTGATTATTTACTTATTTCCCCATCTGTAGCCATCATGGGCAGCGACTTGTGTTGCTTATGTGCTGTCTCAATCTGATTATTTTCTCATTTCTGGTCAATCTTTATTTTCAGTTTAGTTGATGTGCTTTTCATTTTCAACCATGAAAAAGGTTTTTCTTATGCAAGCTAAGATTGATTGATCCAGTTTGTGTTGTATCTTCCTCAGTTCATATCCGAAAATGATGATATTGTGAGCTGACAAATCTAGACTGTGCTGTTATGCAGTGGATGGATGAGGTAAACGGGTCATCTTGAAAGTGAGGGCTTAGCAGAGGAAGTGTAGGGAAACATTTAGATGCTGTACTGAGGTACATGGGTTAGTGGGAAATACTGGTGGTCAGTGAATGGTTGGACTGGATGATCTTAGATGTCTTTTCCAACCTTGGTGATTCTATGTACTTGCAATGGGGTGAGTGGATTTCTGGCTCCAGTTTGGGTGCTCTTCCAAACTTTGAAAGGTTAAAAAAAAAAAAATCTCTCTTAGTGTTCTATTCTGAAGAACGTAATGCTAAACAACCATTCCCAGAAGCATCTATCTGTGTTTTCCAAAATTTTGTTTCCATAGTGCTCTGTAAAAATAGTGTGACCGAAGCTCTGCTGCAGGTTCCTTAGGGTGTCTGCTGTAGCTTTCCACTGTGACATTCTGGCAGTATCATAATATTCCCTTTTTTTTTTTTTTTTTTTTTTGCTTTCCAGAACATAGTTTGCCTCTGGCAAATGCTGAAGAGTTTTATTTACTGCTGTACCCCATTATCTTTATTCAGTACTCTGTAGCCTGTGACTGCTGAAGGAAGAGTTTTCCTGTTTACAAACATGCTTATTACCTGTATTGCAATGCAATAAATTGTGGTAGATTTTTCCACATCCACACTCCTGTCATTCAGCTTGTTCTGCATCTTCTTGCTGTCTACTACTCTATTTATTGTCTTTTCTCCCAGGCTTGTGTTAGCAACAAGTTTGATTGTTTTAACTTCACAATTTTGTTTTCAAGTTATTTCTTATGTAGTGTGAAAGGTAATTATTGTTTGCTAATCTTTGCATCAATTAGCTTCTGCTACAAACATCTCTGAATCCCTTCCCTTCAGTAGCGTCCTTGCCTTTCAGAGCAGAGTGAACATGGTTGTATTTGTGTGGATGAAATTTCTCCCATCCTACCTCAGGTGGGCAGCTAGCTTATTTCAAAAGAGTTATTCTATCTCATACATACCTGAGAGGGGTAAATAAGCATTTAAGCATGTTCTCTGCCCTGTGTATGGAATGGAAAATGTACAGATGTGTAGAATACATCTGTTAAAATACATTACGTGAATAATGATAGCTTAGTGGCAGAGCTGTTAACAGTAAGTTTTTGTTCTTTCTCCCATCTTTTGCAAGAAACAAAAGTAAGGCAGTTAGCAGCAGGTTTCATAGCATTTAACCCACGTTTTTGGGTTATTGAAACTTATGCTGTCTGCATGGTTCTTTAGGTCTACAATGTCTAGAAATTCTTTCCAGTTTATTACCTGAGAATTATTAGCTGAGTTGCGCTGAACTTAATTAAAAATGTTCATAAATAGCATTTGGCTCATTACACTTTGTCCCTTTTTCCCCCCAAGAAATGTAAGCACTTTAATAGTTTTCTGAGTGGAAAGAAAGTATTTTTGAAATGAGATCATTGTAATCAGAAACCAAGGTAATGAGAATTTGATTTCTGTGTTTTGTGTTGTTTTTTTTTGTTTTTTTTTTTTTTTTTTTTTTTTTAGGATGAAAGTAACTCATTGAAAGGAAACTTGACTAAGACAAGACAATCTTCACATAAAGCACACTTATCCTTAAGTGATCTGCAGAGCAGGTAGGGGGTTGAACCATCATTATTTTGCCCCTTAGATAACGGTAAAAAAATTCTCTTCCTATTTTGAGCTGTGTCATATTAGATTTAGCAAGGTTTTTTGTCTAAAAGGAAAATACAGTTAACTATCATTATACCATTCATTCTGTTTGGCTTTGTGTCAGTATAATCTTTGTTAAATTCCGATTTTTTTTGTTACTGGATTTGGTCATAAAAATGATCCGTGGGCAGAAGCTGTTGGATTTTATCAGTGGATGAGTAAATAACTGAAACTTAAAAAGTAGCTGTTTGGTTATCTTAAAGTTACAGGAATGCAAAAGTAATTTTAAGCTTCTTCACTAATAAGACTTGTGGATAATTTGGTTATTTGGTTTTTTTTTTTCCAAAATAAATGCTTGGAAAAGAGGAGCATCTTAAAATAAATAAATAATAAAAAACTGGTGCAAATACATAGGACTTGGTCTAGTAATTCAGTGTTTCATATTTCAGAAGATATTTTGAACACCTTGCTTCTATAAGTTAATTATTGTTTGCTGCCCTCACACTTATAACTAGGTTTTCTTTTGAAAATGTTACTTAAAAGGCACCAGTTGATTTGATTCTTTTGTCCACTTCTGTTGTATAAGTTCTCAGTTCTGATAAGCTCTATGTATGTGCACGTTATTTTGTATTACTGTTTGTGTACTTGCTGAAGGAAAGGTATAAAATAATGCAGAGCGCTTCTAGGGTTGTGTGGGTTCTGTTTTTCTTTATGGTAGAACTCCTAGAACTATGGTGCTGAATTGGAGAGAGCTTGACACTAGAGTGGGCAAAAAGAGGTTTTACTTTGCTAATTAAATGTACTGCAAAGTTTTTAACAGAGTCTTCCCAAATCATCTCTGTATTCCATGAAAAGGAGGGTAGTTCAGTGTGCAGCTAGGGGTAACTTTGACTTATGATGAGTGTGCTTTAAAAAGTTCATTTAGTTGTTGGATTTATAATTCCCATAATTTGCATCTTCTTCTGTGCAAGGGATCTAATTAGTCTTGGGTTTTCACCTGGATGTGGAGCTGCTGCAGAAGTTGTTAGTATTTCTTTACCTGAGCTCACTCTTGTATTCTGCGTGTAGCCTTTTTGCCTCCTTTGTGCAGAGAGATGCTGCAATTAAATTGCGTAGGATGTGTTTCTGAGAAAGTGCAAGTTTTTGTTCTGAGGCAGCTTTGGGAGTTTGAGATTGATGCTGAGACTGCAGACAACGGAACAAGAGAAGAAACAAATCCTAATACTAGAGAATCAAGAAGTGATGGGTTATGAAATGTGGCATTCAGCTTGGGAAAAGACCATTCCTTGGGTTGAGAGGCCAGCAGCACTAATCCCATTCACTGAAGGGCAAGGCATAAAAGGACTCGAGGACAGTCTGATTGCTGAGCGTTCACCACAGCGCTCATAAACAGGATACAAGGACGGAGACAGAGTTCACAGAAGGACATGGTTCTGTCAACCAAACGTTGGCAGTAAAGCAGGTGATTCAGAACCGCTGGGAGTAAGGAAGAGGTCCATGTTTTGTGAAATATTTAGTATATGATTCACTCAGAAAAGAACTTCTGGGACTCTTAAAGGAGATGTATGACGGAACAAAAGCATCTGACAGGTATTTCAGAGCAGGGAGTTGCGTGCAGAAATCCTGCTGTTAATATGATTTGTGAGTGTAATTCCCAGATTGTTTAGCTCAGGTTGTCAGTTCGTTTCCAGTCAAGACAGAGAGGGGACTCTTCTCTAGGTTGGCTCTGTGTCCACACCAGTGCTAAGCATCTGGTGTGCAAGGACTAAAACAAAGCTAAAGCATGCATGCTTTCAATTCTTTGCCAGAAGCAGAATAAGGAGTTTGTGGAAGTTGCTGTTGTTCTTAGAGAGTTTATTTTTCTGCAGTTAAATTGGTTGGATTTTGAGTGTCTCTCTGTAGATTAAGCTTTCAGTAGATGAAAATGAAAGTACAAAGCTGACTACAGGAGATGAGCTCCAAGGAAAATGATGCCAGAGCTGTTTATGTATATTTGCAAATTCTGTCCTTATTTATTGGATTGAGAATTCTGTGTCAAAACTGAAGTGACCCAGACTGGGGAAATGAGGGGGCAAAAGTTCAGTCATTGATGGGTGCCCAGAGCATTGACTTGTCTACATTTAACGTAGACCAATATAACTTTTCTATTGATTTTTACCGTTTGGTTTCATTGCTTCCAAACAGTAGTGAGCAGATCACACTCTCCAGGATGATGAGTAGGTTTAAATTTTCCTCGTGCTGTTGGCTGACTTAAAATGTTCAGGCTTTATCTGCAAAAGTGGGAAGCTGACCTTTCCTCCTCCTTTGATATTGCAGGCTTATAGAAATCTTTTTAAATGAGGTATTAGTTGATATCAGCATAATACTACTTTTGTTTTCTGTGGGTGAGGAGAAGCTTAGATCTGTGAATTAAAAAAAAGCAAACTCATACTACTGATCTTCTTGGCTCATGTTTTTCTTTCTTAAATTGAAAACCTTATGATTTAAAACAGCTTTCTACAAGTATTTGTGAGTCCTGTGACACAAGCCCTCTTCCAATTCTATTATATATGCTGACTGGTACAAACTTAAGTACAAAGTTTTGAGCAATGGCTTGATGATAGTAGATCAACAAATTATGTAACACAGTCTAAAACTTCCCTGTGAAATGTAAGCCATTTCCCAAATGAGAATGGTCACCACAATCTTTGCTTTTCCCATTTCTTTTCCTAGACTGAGAACCTTACTGAAAGGCTGAAGGAAACTCAGTCCTAATGTTTAAGTGTCATAAGTGCCTAAATATTTGAGCATATGTGACAAATGTCACCTCAGTAGTTATTTTCTGTTGATTTTTCATCTGTTTGTTTCATGCTGTATTACAGGAAAATGGCTCACTTCCTTATATAACACGATCCTTTGTTTTGAGTGTCTCAAGAGAAGGCACACAGTCAGGAAGTTTAGATATACATGCTTTGGATCTGTCAATGTTTTGTAATGATTTTCAGAGAATAAATTTTATTTTGTAGATAAGGAAAATAATTTCTCAAAGTAAACAGACTGCGTTTGTTCTTGCAATGGTGACAAATAAGATGGGGTGGAAAAGGGAGCACTTGATTGCCATTATGTCATAATGTGTTTGGTAGAATATTTAATCCAAGATGCTTCCGATAGAGCACTTTACTGCTGCAACCACAGTAATCTAATATACCCCTGATAGATTGTCTTCATATTGAAATAGCTGCATTTTGACCTTCAAAGGACACAGAAATCCAACTGTGTTGCTCTTGCTTGGGCTCAGTGCCTAGTCACACTGCCTATCAAAATACAGCATAATGACTGCATGCTCTTTGAGAATTAATTCCTTCTTTTTGGGAGGTATTATCAAGTGCACATGGTCAGGTAAGGGAGACTGTGTGTGAATGAAAAATGTGGGGTGGGCTCCCATTTCTGAAGAATAGCTGCAGTGCAGATTTTGTTTCTATTTGTGAAAGGTAATCTGTAGTTAGCAGCTTTACGCTCGGATTTCTGTTGGCTTTGTACTTCTAATTCCTCTCATTTATCTCATTTGATCATTATTTCTTCTTTTTTTTTTTTCTTTTGACAGTTCACCAGTGCAGCAGAACATCACTGTTCACTTGGATAATGGTGAATTGTGGTCTAACCGTGCAGCTGTATACAAAGGGAAGCCTCACAGAGCAATCTTTGAAGACAGTCTTGGGAAAATATATAGAAACATGTACCGAAAAGCTTCTGGCACTATTTCAGACCAAAAAGCATACTCCTGATGGCAGTTCGGCTGGAAATGCACAGTACACAGTGTTGATATTTCTCAGCAAAACTTTTTTTTATGTGACAAGTATTTGTACTCTATTTTTAAGATGCAGTTATGGCTGGGCAGAATTTTGGAGGAATGGAGTTTTGGTCTGGGGTGCCAAATGAATGCGATTAGCAGCACCCCCACCACCACAACACCTCTGCTCCAAATTTAAAAAAAACTAACAAACAACAGCAAAAAAAACTCTAAGCCCCTCTGCAGTCGATGAGAGTGGTGTTGCTCCTTTGAGACTCTCTGAAGATAGCCATTTTAAAGACTAATATGTCTGCTGGATGTTCCTGCCTGACGTAGGTCAGGTTTCAGCTGCAGTCAATTATGATTTAAATAATTAAATCTATGTAGTAACATAAGAAGCAATAAGTCCTAGTGTTCAGTGAGGGTATCTGAAGGGGAGGGTAAGTGTGAGTGTTGATATAAATGGTCTGCTCTGGAAAAGAGAGAACTTGAATTGTTTTCTAGAAAATCAGCTTTGGATTGTTTTTGAGAAGGGTGGAAGGATGACTCCAATAGTGACCTACAGGCATGCTTTCAAAGTGGTTTCAAGCACCTTTAGTCACAAATTTTCAAATAATGTCAAATTTTAGAAGAAACCTACCCAGATCAGCAGTCTTTGTATTAGAAGAAAGGCTTTCTTAACGTACCCTGCGTGTTTGAAAGTTTCCAGGCTTTCTTGAATGCAGTCCTGACATTTGAAAATATAATTGTAGTTTTTAAAAATACTAATGGAAAAGGAGGGGGGAGGGGGAAAGACTGGAGCAAGGTAGTCAGCAAGCTCATGTATCCAGTACAGGCCTTCTGAAGTGCCTGGATTGTGATGCCTGTCCTTGCCAGCCTTCTGGGATCCCGTTGGCAGAAATCACATCCTTTCTGCTAAAGGCCACCAAATGTTCATCAGCGGTTCAATGCTATCCCAAGGGATGGAACCTTTTCAGCCTTGCATTGAGCAGATCCCACATTAGCAAGCCAGGGCAAGTTGCCCATCTATTGAAAAGCCAAATGCTTTAAAAGGGCAAGAGTGTCCATCTCTGCTTCCCTTTTAGATTGGGGGGGTGGGGGGGGGAACGCATGCATATTCTGGCTCCTTCCCTAACTAAATGAACAGATTCAGTTATACCAATGGCATTTTACCTGTTATGATTGGATAAAAGATAAAGCTTGCAGTACAGATGGCAGAGCATATGACTGTTACCTGCCAGCGTGCCTAGATAAACAGAAAGTTGGTCTACTTTGCCTTCCATCCTTTAATGCTGAGACAATGTAATTGATTTGAGAAAGCAGTTGGTGAGCAATTATGCTGGTGGGAAAGCATGCTGGAAGGTTGTGTGCTTCTGCTTCAGGAAAGGGGGCTCTCAGAGGAAGTGTCTTCCATGCAGACATTTCTATTCCTTGTAACAGTTAAGCACATTGATGTGGATTAACACTGATCACTTCCTGTCCCTGCTGCCATTTAACACATTAGTGCTTTCAGAGGGTATTAGCTGCACAGCCTTACTCTGTGGATAACTGTTGAGGCACTTTATGAAGTAGTATGCTTTTTTTTTTTTTTTTTTTTTTTTTTTTTGCAGATGCAAAAAGAAAAACTTAACCTGAGCCATGCCACTGAAGACATGGTGGCCATGGAGTATTGTGTCACCAGTACTTGGTATTCCATCATTAGTCCCATGACCCCAGATTAGTCCAGAAAGGAATGGTTTCTATCTTGCTGCTCCTGGAAAGAAGCTCAAGGCACAAGCAGGGGATGAGAGAGGTTGGAGGCCACTGTGAAAAACTAGGAAAAGATTTTGGAGAGATCCAGAGGATGCAACTGAATAATCACAGCATATGGTAAAATGACAACTTCTGATTTTTTTTTTTTCATCACGGACTAAAACTAGATGGGAGAAATAGAAAGTGTCATATACTGAATTCTGACCAGTATGAACATTCTCACTGAAGCCTTTGTATGCAGCATAACAAGTGAAGCAGATAGGCTCTGAGTGTCACTGGCCCTGCTCCAGCTGCGGAGAGGGATGGTGTGTATGTCTTTCTGCATCAGCTGCTGCAGGATATGTTTCTCTCTTGGGTCAGAGTCATTCCACAGCTTATATGCTATGATACTGCACTGTTCTCTTCCAAGCACTGTGCTGGAAATCCAGTTTGGTTAATGGAAAGCTATTCTGTGAAATGTGACTTGAAACCCAAAGTACTCTATCTATCCATAAAATCTGCAAGCCACTTGTTTTTTAAAAGCTTTTGGCCCCTTCCCTGTTTGCTCAGCTAACCCTCCAATTAATATGCATACAGCTCAAGTGCACTGAGCACTGCTGCTCCTTTGCTACTGCAGCATGCGATAAGTATAGGTTCAGGCAGCGAACCAACATAGTAATAAACTGTAATTGTTTAGTGCACCTTGCCTTCTAATACAATTTAAATCCCTTCTATCAAATGCAAATTTCTAGGTTCCTGAGTGGAGCTTTAAATAACATTTTCTATGCTCATTCCTTATCTTTTGCCATCCACAAAGTGGTCTGTTAGTGACATTGGGATGGCATCATTCCACCTCCATCATTTTACCTCCTAAAGGAAAGCTGCCTACTCAAATCTAGAAATAATGGGGTAGATTAAGAGAGAATTAGTGTGTGGGGTTTTTTTTGTACAATCTTTCTCTCTCTCTTGCCCTCCCTGAGCTATTATAACCCATGTGTATTATCGCCAAATGTTTTTCAGCATCCAGTATTGCTTGCAGTGTGCAGTCTAATCAGTGTAATATTTTAATCACTTTCATTTTAATAAATCAGAGCCAACTTCCAGCATGCTCCCTTTCCTACAAAGAACTTGATATAGCTTAGGACCTTGGGATGGCTCACTAGGCATATAATTTGTCTACTTATTGGGCTGAATGCCAAATCCTTTGCTGAGTAGCAGTTGCTTTGGAAATCACTTAGTTGTTGACCTGTTGTGGTTTAAATGCAAAAAAAAAAAATATCTGACTTATTAATGATTTGCCTTATCAAAGTTTTCAACAAGAAGCAGGGAAGCTTAAGTTGGTCTGCTGGGGACAGGAGGCAAAGGGGTGGATGGAGTAAGGAACAGCCTTAAGAGATAAATGGGTGGCATGTTTGTATGCCAGATCTGAAGAGGCTTTGAAGATGAGGGCTGTTATTTAGATTGTACATCGTGTTTGAACTGTATTGTTACTTAGTAGGTTGCCAAAATAGAAAGAAATCTACCTATTGGGGTTGGGAACCTATTTATGGGGATAAAATAACAGAAGTTTTAGCTCTGCTCAGTATTAAATTAGTCTGTGCTAAATTCCCTTTCACCATTACCTCAGCTGTAAAATGGGAAGTTTGTGCTCTATTGAAGCTTAATTAAATGACTGTAAAGTGTTTTGGGATCCTGAAATGAATGTTACTGAAATTTTCTTGTGGAAGCCTGGCTGAAAATTCCCATCTCATCTCCAGGTTACTAAAAAGTCCTTATTCTAACATTCCCAGATTTATTATGTTTTAATAAGGCAGTTATTAAGCAAGTCTTAAACTTATCAAGGTAGAAACCTTATAAATTTGTAAAACTATTGAAAAAGGCAATGCTTTACCACTACAAACCTTCCCACAATGGACATTTTGTGCAGTTTATGTCTCTTGGATGATCTGGGTTCATCATGCTTGTACTTCATGGTATGCTAACCAGCACTGCTAACATCTATTGCTTTGTTTTCATCACCTCCCCAAGAACTGAGGGGGTGCAGTGGTGTGTGCAACTTGGCAAAGGGAAAGGTTATATGGTGTAAGGGATAGCCTGTTATATAGTGCTGATCTTCCCGATTTTTAAACTTAAAAGTGTTTTCTGGAACACTGAACTATGCAGCAAAATTCTTAGCTTTTTAGCAGTGGCTACTTAATTGTATGAATGTTGTAGTGCAGAATCTCTGGGTCATAGAAGACCTAACCATTAAACTAATTACTTTGCTGCTACAGAGTGATTGTTATCAGGATGCTGACAATGTATCAAGAGATCTTTTAGGGGGCAAGAAATTTGAGGAAACTTTTTAAATTGGTGGAACTTCTTGTTCTTGATTTCTGCTGCTTGCCCATGGAATCGAAGCATCATCAACCAAAACCCTTAAAAAAGTGGTGGCTGTAGTTCCTTCTGCTAACAGTGTTGGCTTGCCAAAGACATGTGATTTGTTCCTTGTGTTTGTCTTCAGAGAGAAATTCTCTGAGGTGCAGTGATAATTTGTCTGTTTGACAGCATGGAGGAACTGCAGTCCTTCTCCCTTCTTGATCAATGTGGAGACTGCGCTTTCTTTGTGTTTGTTTCCATGCAGCTCTGGGTGATTGCTTCTGACAGAGAACTCTCTACGAGTGAGGTGTGAGGTGTGTATGCCTGAGCTGCCTTCTCATCTCCTCAGGGGAAGGTGTTTGCTGTTACTAAACAAGGTCCCCCTTGGTTCATATGGATTTCCCCCTCTTTATGGAAACTTATTTAGTCAAACATTGGTGTGACAGCATGGAACCACTGCAATTAGATGGGGCAGGGATGGGATCTGGGACTGCTTTGGGGAAAGGCTTTCTGTGCTTTCTGCATTTGTATACCAGTCTACAAAACAACTGTGGAACCCATAAATAGATGTTGAGGTAACAAAAGCAGCACTCACACTGCTGAATTCTAACACAGATATATTTGTATTGTTGCACTGACTAATTTCTGTTTGGATGTTGCGCCGATGGCGTAGTTACTATGGCTGCATGAACTGTCCCATTGAGCACTCCACCAGTGAACACTTGCTAAGAGGTTGCTTTCCCTGTCTGCCTTGTTTTCACCACAGCCATCTACTGTTTACATACATTTTAGCCTCTGTGCCATTTTTTGAAGGCTTTATTTGTCTCATTTACGTTTTTGGTTCGGGTAATACTTAAATATGAAATCCATCTGTGAAGCATATTGTATACTCACGTTGAGGGGTAAAACCGGTTTTTTAATTAAAATTTTATACAGCGCTTGTATTTCACTTTGTCCTGTTTTATTATGAAACACTTCAATCTTCTTCCTAAAACACATATGTCTTGTGCGTTTCAAGATGTTCCTTGTTGCTCATGCAGAACTGCTTTCTGAGCTCTGTCAGCAGAGCGCCATATGTTCTGGGGTTCATTTTGCTTCTCTGGCGTCCGTGTAGGCAGCATATTGCATGTAAGGCAGCTAAGCTCTGCTCCATTCTTGTCTTTGTAAACTTGTCAAGAGATGAAAAAAGCAGGGAGAAGAAAACACTGAATAATACTTGAGTGATTTGAATGATCAATAAGTTGCGGCAACGCGCCCAGTCAAAAGTGAGGCTTCTTGTGTACTTGGGGATTTTTCTTAATGGCGGCTTATGCACGGCCTTTAAGTGACACAGCCCTCAGTGCTCGCCTGTGTTACACCCAGAATGAGTGCTGGAGATTAAGATACAGCGCGAGCCATTTGGCAGTGACAGGCATTGTAAGCTCTCTTAATTTTGCGCTGATCTGTTAGTATTAAATTTAAACAAATGTGAGTAATAGCAGATGGGTACGTGAAGGGATTGTGCTCCTCCTTGCTGTCTCCTGACTTTGTGGGAAATAACTCCAGCCTGTTTAGATGGCAGGTACTGAAAAGACAGAAATCCTGGTGGTGTCCTTGTGGTTGTTTTTTGTTGGTTTTTTTTTTCAGTTTGGGGTTTTTTCGTTGTTCTTTTTTATGTCATTTTTCTTAGCAATCTATTTCAGTTTCTTCCCTGCCCACTGTAAGCTAGCAGGTACCATCAGTCTTTAATGCAGCACTGGTATGTGGGAGCACAGCCCTGACTGTTTATTGATAGCAGTCATACATTGTCAGATGCTGATCTTATCTGCCAAACGCTTTTCAGCATCTCTGCAGTGACTGTGACAGAGGGCCAAAGTAGTTCTGCATTTCCCTTCTTTAACTAGAGCTTGAAAATCAAAAAAAGGAGGAAAAGAAAAAAGAAACTCGCTAAGCAAGAAAAAGGAATGTGCGTTAAACCGTTCTTCTTTTGCTGAGGTCTGAGGCCGAGGGCTGGGGCTGCTGCCCGGGTGGCAGGAGAGCAAACCTGGTGGAAGTGACAGGCAGCTCCGCTCCTGGGACTCTTATTTACATATGTTTAAAACAAACAGAAAAGCTGCCTTTGTTCCCCAGGAAAATCTATTTACTTGGCATTCAGCTCATGTATGAGCCGGAACTTCTTTCGTGAAAGATGTCGAAACAAAGCATCTGACATTTCTGCTGTGATGTGCGGCTGAAGCTAAGATTTGATTTTGAAATATAAAAGTAAACTGAAACTACCTCTGATTTAAAGGCGGTTTGTTTGGGTTTTTTTTTTTTTTAATGACCTTAAAAGTTTTGTGAAGTTTTTTCCCCTTCCCTCTGGGACTAGAAGAAATTATAACAGTAATCTTACTTAGAGCTGGAAGTCTACAGAGACAGTGGCTGTAGGTTAATGAAAAATTGACACTGCTACTTGCCTGTGCTTCCAGCAGAATGTTTTTCCTTCAAACTGATGTGAACTATTGCACTGCGTGAGTTGGTTATAAGCCTCACATATTAAATGGAATGCTTCTTTTGT